AGAGTCCCTCTTTCTCCATGAAGTCGGCCAACTGCTGGACCCTTGGGTTCCGTTGCCCTATTCCAAATTTCCCCACTTTCAGCTCACCGTTCTCTCTTGTGCCTAGTTTTGCATTGAAGTCTCCCATTAACACCGTATATTGGGTTTTGGAGGAATGCATGGCTCTAGAGATATCCTCATACATTTCCTCCACCTCCTCACCGGGGTGTGCCGAGGTTGGTGCGTAAACCTGTATGACCTTTAGCGAATACCGTTTGGTGATTCTGAGTATAAGGTACGCAACCCTCGTCGACACACTCTCAATCTTTACAACGTTGTTAACGAGAGACTTGTGGACGATAAATCCGACACCTCCTTGGGACAGATGGTCGCCCTCCCGGTAATAGAGCAAGTTGCCGGATTCGAGGATTACCGTGTCCTCCCCCTCTCTTCGGACTTCGGATAATCCTATAATATGCCAGCGCAACTTGTCTATCTCTTCTTCCAGCTCCACAATCTTCTCGTCAGTCCTCAGGGTGCGTGCATTGTACGTTGCCAGGTCGAGTCGTCTAAGGTGGCAACCGAACCTCCACCGGAGATTCTTAGCACCCCCTGCCCCGCCGTTACCATGGTCGCCACCGTAGCCAGGAATAGCGGGGCCGCCGGGGACTGGGGGCCGTCTGTTTGTTGCTTTATTCATTGGGGGGTATTTGCCATAGTTGCCACGCTTGGCGAGCGGGTTGGCAACCGCAGTTTTTTTATTGTAATTTTGGCTATTATCAGGAAGATGCTGCTGCCCATCTCCTGCCTGTTTCCCTTTGTCGCCTTTTACGACACCCACGGGAGGATATGGGGTAGTGGATATTCTTGACCGCCACTACACGGCATATGTATATATATATGTATATACAGGGTGTTTTTGGAACGCTCCCGAAAACTAAGACAGGCGACAACACCAAGTATACCTTTGATCATGGGTCACAAATAAATTCGATCCTGATGAAAAAAAAAATCATATTTTTACAAGGTTTTATTAGCTTTATTCACGCGCCATCATGTTAGTACAGCTAAATGAAACGATAATTTCATAAAAAATATCATGAAAATACTGAAACATAAAACCAGCAGTGGAATGACTGAATTGATATCACCTGACCTGAGCTAGATAAAGGTCAATGTACGCGCGAACACAAATTCGCGCGGCCCGCAACTAGCGGGCATTCCAACAATACCTAATAATTTACAACACGTGTCTAAATACCTAACTTATCTACTTAACCTACTATTTTGCCACTGTGCTTATCTCCACGTAGCCACTTTAATCCGAATTTACAGGTTAAATAACCCAAATAACTGGTTCGATTCCCCGCTAATGAAGAAATACTTAAATGAAATGTAACCAAGGTTGGAGTCATGCGTTTTTATTCATCGTGTAGGTATGTTTATTTTTCTCGTGTATTCAGTTATGTACCTATTCAGATTAGTCTAGTACTAAGTTATTTAAAAAAAAATAGTTATGAAACAGCTTACTGCTCTAAATCCTCCGTGGTCTTATGAGATGCGGCTCAAATTGTGCTCCATTCATTTCAAGGCAGACTTGGGTGCAGGCGGGGCATCATCGTGTGGTCTTCGACACAGTCCGTACGTAGTTTCTCGAAAGCATCCACGATCCTTTGGCGCATTTCTTCAGCACTATCACATTCACGATTAAAAACCCTTTCTTTCTCATACCCCACAAAAAGAAGTCTAACGGAGTCAGATCTGGTGAGCGAGGTGGGCAAGCGTGTGGTCCTAGTCTGCCGATCCAGCGATCATCAAATAGCTCATTGAGGCGCTCACGGACGAACCTCACGAAATGTGGAGGGGCACCATCATGTTGGAACTATGTGCGGCGATATTCAGCCAACGATAGGTCGTTTAAAATGTCAACCAACTGTTCATTTATAAAGTTTAGGTATCGCTGTCCGTTCAGTCGCTCTGGCAGAAACACTGGTCCCAGTATGCGATCCTTAAATAAACCTGTCCATACGTTAACCGACCATCGGGTTTGGTGCCCGGTTTGTCGAACAGCGTGCGGGTTAACCTCTGAATACACGTGTGTATTTCTTCGGTTCCACAGGCCGTTTCTGGTAAATGTCGACTCATCCGTCCAGATAATGTGCTCAATGGAACCAGGCACACGTTGTTGCTGATATAATAACCAACGGCAGTATAATAACCACTATAAACGTACGCGTTAGGCATTATTAAAACAAAAAAGAATCCAAAAACGTAACAAAAACTTTAATATCAACACGTAATCACAAGTAAATTTATTAAACAAAACGATTGAACTGTCGCTCGCGCACGCGTGTACAAAATCAACACGAAAGCGAAACTGTCTCAAAAACTAAAACCAACGAACCCCGTCAAGGCTGAAAATTACTGCGTCACAAGCGTGAGGCGACAGGGTTAGGCATTCTGCCGTCATAATAAAAAAGGAAGTAACTAACAAAAACGTAAAATGGAAATAAAAAATAAATTGATGAATTTTTCTTTCAGACCCCGTGTCTAAAGTATATTAAAAGGTATCTATATTGAAATATATACGTAGAGACATAAAGATTTTAAGGACGAACTTATTTTTTTTTAAATTTGTTTATTTATTTAAATAAAACGAATTTTCCTTTTCATCTTAGCTTAAAAAATACACCTGGCAACACAAAAACATCGAAGGAAAGACACATATAACTATTTGCGTCTTTCCAACCTAATAAATTAAAAAAAAACTGCCATTCATTTAACAATTTTACATATTTTAGAAAGGTCATTTGAAGTTGAAAGGACGCTAATAGTAATTTACTAATTTTTTTTTTAATAAATATTAAAAAAGCATTGGTAGTGAGACACAAAAAATAATAATTTTAAAAAGTAATGATTTTAAAGGGGATATCATACAAGACTTACTACGATAATAATTAAAAATTAAAAATTTTGTACAACCGACTTTAATATAAATAATTAAGGATAACTCAAAAACTATTGGTCTGACCTCGATCAAATTTATATGGGACCACATGTGAAACACCAGCTCTTAACAATAAGATATAAGCTCTTAATAATAAGATATAGAATAATAAGACAAGACCAAGAATAATTGAAATTTAAGTAATCGATGCAAATATTGTTAAAGATGACGTAGCAACTGGTTAAATAAGTCTTTTCTTTTATGTTGAATTTGTATAAGTCTTTTCTACTAAAAAAAGTCATCTGTGATCAACAGTTACGTCTAAAATTCTTACGATAATTTCTAAAATATTGATATTTGTGAATATTAAAAAAATTTAGTAGATGCGCCTTCTTATCATGAATCGAATGGTATATTTAACTAATTTATTCATAAATTGTTAGATGCGCCCTTTTTTCTTACGACCGCGTGTTTCGTACCGAGCTAGATACAGGTCGATAGCGGAGGGGGTGTGGGTACAATCGCGTTCTAAAGTACTACATGGTAATGGGCTATTGTTTTATAATATTATAGTAATTAATTGTTTTAATGTAGAATCATAATAGGTGTTTTACTAGCTACTTAGAACTTTGGAAGAGGTGGGAATTAAAAATGGATAATGTTTACATGAGCATTATTTGTTATTTCTATCGTAAAATATAAAGTAGTTTGTAACAAGAAAACTTTAGCTAAGGGTAACACGCCGTCCATTATGACGTCTTGGGTCACATGGAAGCCAGATGTTAATGGTGTGTTGGTGTTACTGGATGCTACTTGATCATCACTTTCATCTTCGCTTGAGCTTCCGTCATCAGGTCGATCACATGGTAATTTTTTCGGTATTCTTCCTCCACACTTTTAACTTTACTGCACAATTTTCCCCATTCACCTTCTCCTATCATATTTACCTTTTCGATCACTAGTTTAGTCATAAAACAATAGATATAATTTTTCTTTCCTTCCTTTTTAAAACATCGTCGCGAGTCGCAAAGTAAGCTGTGTATGCGACTGTATTTTTGGAGCGAACAAAGCGCGGGAACCAATAGCATGTAGGCACACTAATACTGGCGGATTGTTCCCCCGTCGCGCGCCTTTCGTACCAATATGTGATAAATCGCTCAGTGCCCAAGTTCAAGGCCAGCGTTTGTTTTTCACCGTTCGCGCGTACATTAACCTCCATTAGTCAGGTGATATCAATTCAGTTTCCACTGCTGGTTTTATGTTTCAGTATTTTCATGATATTTTTTATGAAATTATCGTTTCATTTAGCTGTACTAACATGATGGCGCGTGAGTAAAGCTAATAAAACGTTGTTAAAAGATGATTTTTTTTTCATCAGGATCGACTTTATTTGTAACCCATGATCAAAGGTATACTTGGTGCTGTCGCCTGTCTTAGTTTTCGGGAGCGTTCCAAAAATACCCTGTATATATATATATGTGGGAGAAAGTTTATTTTTAATCTTTGTTTATGTATTTTTTTGAAGTCATGTCATGACAGGCGGAGAGAGTCGGTGGTTAGGAGGAAAAACATTGTAAAAGAGCTAAGCAGTTTTATTAAAGATTTTGTGTTTAATTCGACCATTCTTTTCTTCGACGATCCCACAACTATTTTGGGGGCTCGTTCGGGATCCAGACAAGTATCAGTGTGGAAGAATTAACAACATTTACGAAGAAATCATCAGCAAAATACCGGCGAGTTATTGTGAGAAGTGAACTGTTTTACCAACGCTAACCAAGATGGCGCAAGGGAAGTTTTGGAAACGAGTTGCATCGAATGCTTCGGGACGTTGCTACCATCGCACTACATTACCGACTACGCGTGAGCGTAATGCTGCGGGACGTTGTTCGTGACGTCAATATATTTTTTATTTTTTACGAAATGTAAAGAAGATAAAGATGAGTTTCACGACTGGATTTACGATTTACGGATTTTACGATTGAAGATTATTGTTACAAAAATAATGATTTAAAGAAGATTTTACGACTATTGAAGACTTGTGAAGATTTTTATATTTGAAGAATAACATTTCAAGATGCCGCCGAAAAAAGATATTAAAGATGGAGAAGAACGAGAATCACGTGACACCACATCCTATATCTCGTTTGCAGATGTGGAGAAGTCGATGACGTCATTTAGTGGTGATGATTCTTACCCGATTTCAACATGGTTTGAAGAATTTGAAGACACGGCACTGTTGATGAGCTGGACTGAAGTAGAAAAACTGATTTACGCGAAAAGACTCCTAAGTGGAACTGCAAAACTATTTCTACGATCGCTCGGAGGTGTCAAAATCATCAATCAAAAGATTATCAAAAATTAAAACAAGAACTCGAAGATGAATTTGGATCTAAATTGAATAGTGCCGCCATACATAAAAAACTAAGCTCAAGAAAAATGAAGAAAGATGAAACTTACCAGCAGTATTTTCTCCATATGAAAGAATGTGCATTACATGGAAACATCGAAGATGCAGCACTTATGGAGTACGTTATTGATGGTATCCAAGACAGCGAATCTAATAAATCTATTTTGTACGGAGCGTCAAACCTTAAAGAATTTAGAAAGAAATTAGATATTTACAAAAGTATTAAAGAAAAGACCCAGACTCGACCCAGTGTATCTACTCCATTTGCAAAGAATAATAAAATAAAGCGATGTTTTAATTGCGGGGACCTAGATCATCAAGTCCCGACCTGCACGAAGGGTATTAAGTGCTTCCGATGCAATGAATTTGGACATACGGGAACTCAGTGTAATAACAAAGGTAAAAAGACTTTAAATATTCAAAAGACTGACACGAAAATTAAGACTGATAAAGAAGACAAAGAATTAGAAACTCCATATAAGAAGATAAAGATAAATGATGTCGAAATTACAGCATTAATTGACACTGGGAGTGACGTGAATTTGATAAAGTTATCTGAAGTTGAAAAATTTATGACAGAAAAAGCTATCTATGACAAAGAAAAATCAATACACCTAACTGGAATTGCTGGAAAAGAACTAAATACTAAAGGACTTCTGAAAGTTAAGGTTTTGATTGATGATTATTATGCTGACTTGGAATTTCACGTAGTACAAGATTATGCTATACCAGTCAGTGTCATACTTGGAAATCCTATCCTCAAAGATTTTGAAATCAATTTTACTCGTGATGGTATTTTCCTTGAAAAGATTTCTTACCTTACACTACTGGCAGAAGAGAAGAACAATATTTGTGATGAACATTACCCTGAAAATAAAGAAATTGCAGATAAGGTTACAAAACTAATTAAAGAATATAAAACTAATGCTAAAAAGAAGGAAAGTAACGTTGAGATGAAGATAATACTTACCGAAGAAGACCCGATATATCAAAGTCCACGTCGATTGTCACCACTGGAAATGAAAGTTGTTGATGAACAAATAAAAGAATGGCTAGACCAAAAGATTATACGACCCAGCAAATCAGATTTTGCAAGCCCTGTAGTTCTAGCTAAAAAGAAAGATGGAACATACAGACTTTGTATAGATTATAGAAAGTTGAATAAAAGAATAGTGAAAGACCGATTCCCATTACCTCTTATAGAAGATCAGATTGACAGATTGAAGGGTGCAAAAGTTTTCACGACTTTAGATTTGAAGAACGGATTTATGCATGTGAATGTGCATGAAGAAAGCAGGAAGTTTACGGCCTTTGTAACTCCGCAAGGGCAGTATGAATTCATGAAAATGCCGTTCGGTCTTTGCACGGCGCCGTCAGTATTCCAAAGGTATGTCAACCATGTCTTTCAAGATCTTATTTCTGACGGTACTGTCCTCGCCTACTTGGATGATTTGATTTTACCCTCGGAGACAGAAGAAGAAGGATTGGAGAAGCTGGTAAAAGTGTTCCAAAGAGCTGAAGAGTACGGTCTTTTATTTAACTGGAAGAAATGCCACTTCATGAAGAGGGAGATAGAATATTTAGGCTATATAATACGGAATAATGAATTACGCCCGTCAAAAGAAAAGATTTCAGCCGTATCAAGATTTAAAACCCCTCATAACATCAAGTCTTTACAGTCTTTTTTAGGACTGTCTGGTTATTTTAGAAAGTTCATCAAAAATTATTCTATAATTGCAAAACCACTTACCAATTTATTGAAGAAAGACGTTGAATTCAATTTTGATGAAGAGTGCGAAATGGCTTTCAATGAATTGAAAAGAATATTGTGTAGTTCACCTGTGTTACGGATTTACGATCCAGACCTAACAACAGAACTACACACAGATGCTAGCGCAGAAGGTTATGGCGCCGTTCTGTTACAGAAAAGTCCTACAGATAATCAAATGCATCCAGTCTACTACATGAGCAAAAAAACGACACCCGCTGAAAGAAAGTATCACAGCTATTACTTGGAAATACTGGCGATTGTTGAAGCTGTCAAGAAATTCCGTGTCTATCTACTAGGAATTCGTTTTAAAATCGTAACAGATTGCTCTGCTCTTACTAAAACATTACAGAAGAAAGACTTACCTCCACGTGTTGCTCGATGGGCTCTGCTCCTAGAAGAGTATAATTATGAGATAGAACACAGGTCAGGATCAAGACTTAAACATGCTGACGCACTAAGCCGAAACCCTGTCTGCTTGATACTTACCGAAGCTGCTGCCCGTTTGAAGAGAGCTCAAGACGACGACCCTCATATCAGTCTGTTAAAGAAAATGTTAGAAAAAGAACCCTATCAAGACTATATTATGGAAAGAGGAATATTATGCAAAGAGAAAGATGGTACGAGACTGATTGTAGTTCCAAAGAAAATGCAGAACGAAATAATAAGGAAGAAGCATGATTATGGACATTTTGGAGTTAGAAAAACAGAAGAGCTTGTGAGTCGAGAGTATTATGTTGAGAATCTGAAGGAGAAGATTAGAAAAGTTATAGATAATTGTGTAGAATGTATTCTGATTGAACAGAAAAAGGGAAAGAAAGAAGGATTCTTACATCCATTAGACAAAGGTGATGTCCCGTTGTCGACGTATCATATTGATCATCTTGGTCCATTGACGTCTACTAATAAAAATTATAAGTACATTTTTACGGTAGTTGATGGCTTTACCAAATTTACTTGAATCTATCCTACAAAATCTTTGTCCACAGATGAAACGTTGGACAAACTGAGAGTGCAACAACAAACCTTTGGTTCCCCTCAAAGGATTATTTCCGATCGTAACGCCGCATTTACTTCAAAAGACTTTCAAGACTATTGTGAACAAGAAGGCATAACTCATTATACAATTACTACAGGACAACCCCGCGGAAACGGGCAAGTAGAAAGAATCCACCAAATCATAATAAGTGTTATAAGTAAATTGAGCGCTGATGATCCGACGAAGTGGTATAAACAAGTTTCCAAAGTGCAACGCTATCTGAATAGTACATGGCAAAGAAGTATTGGAATGACTCCATTCGAGTTACTTTTTGGAACCAAAATGAAAGATGAGAATGAAAAAATTATGAAATTAATAGAAGAAGAAGAAGTTAAGAACTATAATAAGCAAAGGAATGAACTAAGATTAAAGGCAAAAGAGTCAATACAAAAGATGCAAGAAGAGAATGTTAAAAATTATAATAGAAAAAGAAAAAAGGCTACCGAATACAAAGTTGATGATTTAGTTGCTATTAAACGAATACAATTTACTCAAGGAAGTAAATTGTATCCTAAGTATCTAGGACCTTACGCAGTGACAGCCAAAAAGCATCATGAAAGGTACGCTGTAAGAAAAGTTGGTGAATGCGAAGGGCCCATCAACACAACAACCTCGGCTGATCTCATGAAGCCATGGGTCGATGAAGACGTAGATGAATATTCATCTGAGTCAGATGAATGATCAGGACGGCCGTGTGGGAGAAAGTTTATTTTTAATCTGTGTTTATGTATTTTTTTGAAGTCATGTCATGACAGGCGGAGAGAGTCGGTGGTTAGGAGGAAAAACATTGTAAAAGAGCTAAGCAGTTTTATTAAAGATTTTGTGTTTAATTCGACCATTCTTTTCTTCGACGATCCCACATATATATATATATATATATAATGATATGTATATATATGTGTTACGGCCTACAGCTGCCCCTGCAAAGTTTGAATATTCCGGGGCCCATGAGCGGAAGATTCAACAAGCAGCCGCAGGTCGGACCCCAAATGGCCACATGGAAGAATGTCCTATCATACTAAACTATATGGGAGAATGCTAGGAAAATATAGTACGTACCTGTTTCCGACTCATGTACCGGTTGTTGCCGGTGCATGGCAAGTAGTGTTTAGTTATGTGTATGTGTCCGAGACCTGGACCGGCTGAGATGACTGGCAGCGGCCTATTTCCCCGCTGCCCTTCAATGCTGCATCACTCCAACAGTCTTCCCCGCTGGACCATTTCTTTCTTCCTGTCACTATTTCAGTCTATTAACTTCCTTGTATATTTAACTAACTTAAACTCGCCTAATTCAAACATTCATCATAGAATCGAACACGTGATACCCGACACCGTAACGGACAGTAGTTCAAAGTTCAACACTCAATGTCCCGGATTCTCTTATCAAATTATAAATAGGGAACTAACGCGATCTCTTCATGAGTCACACGGTTCAGCGTTAAACATAACTAAGTTCCTTCGTTCGACATCAAACACCACGCCGCGATAATAATTCAAAATACGCCTCGTTGACACGTAAAACTAACAAATCAGCCAACACACAAAAAAGGGCACTTAACGCTACGTCACAATTACAATGATTTCCAGACTATCAACCGGGAGACGCTCTCGAACAAGGAATGCGCGGCTCGAATCCTAGACCGTGTAGACGCGTAGGAGTAGGATCATATGCCGTTATAACTAGTAAGTAAATTACTGCAGACCACTAATAACTATATTTATTAACGCGCAAGTGCAAGTTAGACAAGAGTAGTAAATAGTATTGGAAACATTGCTTATATAGGTAAAAATAATTAATAATAACTAAAATCGCGATATGTTGGTTATCTTAAACTACACTCTGATTGGTCGTATCCACAGCAAACACAATACATGCGCAAGCGGCCATTGAACTCCGCCCATGCCGCCATCGATGAGAACAATAGGTACACAGGCGGCCATCGAACTCTGCTGGCGCTACGACCAATGGGAACGCATGCGCCCTTATCAGCGGGTGTTGCTTAACGACGACGTAGGATATCGTCCGATGTATGACGTAGTGGTGGCGTGATCTTTAGGTCCGTTCTAGCTACTAATTTACTCGCCACACTACTCCCCCGTTGAGACCGTAACTACGGGCGATAGTAATCCGGAAACCTTACTGTGCATCCGCTTCGGGTCGTTTTGGTGGTAGTTTGACCATAGTCACTTAGGTTTTGTGGAATGGTCTCTGCGGTCTCTCTGGCAACATACGCTGGCTTTAGGCGGTCAATTGAGATCCTTTGAGTCCTGCCCTGGATTTCTACGTCGAATGTTTTGGAGTCACTTCTCACGACTTTGAAGGGGCCTGAGTAGGGTGCCTCGAGTGGTCTTCTTGCGGGACCTTGGCGGACGAAGACATGCGTCGAACTTCTGAGGTCTTTGGGCACATAAAATATTCGACTGGAACTGCCATGCCAAGACGTAGGTTGTGGGGTCAATCTACTGACGTGCGCGCGTAGTCGACCAGCCACGGTGGTCGCGTCCGTTTCCGTATTGGGATTTGGGGAAAAGAACTGTCCAGGCAAACGGAGTGGTTCACCGTAGACTAGCTCTGCTGCCGATGATTGCAAGTCCTCTTTCCAGGCGCTGCGGATACCGAGGAGGACCCATGGTAGAAATTCAACCCAGTTTGAAGACAAGTGGCAAGTGATGGCGGTCTTCAGTTGGCGGTGCAGTCGTTCCACTAGACCATTGGCAGCTGGGTGATAAGATGTGGTAGTGTGGTGTGTTGCACTGACCAGTGCGGCGAGCTCCTTGAAAGTGTGGGATAGAAACTGTCTGCCGCGATCTGTGGTGATGTGTTCTGGACATTCGAAGCGTGAAATCCATCCATTTGTTAGAGCGATGGTGCACGTCTCTGCTGTCATGTCCTGGAGTGGGTACGCCTCAGGCCAACGGGTGAAGCGGTCGACAATCGTGAGGCAGTACCTGTACCCTGAACATAACGGTAAGGGACCGATCAGGTCAAGATGTATATGCCGAAATCGTGCTGAAGGTAGCATGAATGATGCGAGCGGTGCTGAAGTGTGACGAGCTACCTTGGATCGTTGACAGTGCTGGCACTCCTTTGCCCATTGCCTACAATCCCGCTTAATGCCAGGCCAGACGAACCTCTGCGTCGCCAGCTTGACAGTAGCCTTCGCTCCTGGATGACTCAAGTTATGTAGTGCGTTAAATACCTGTCTGCGAAACGAAGGTGTGATAAATGGCCGCGGATTCGGGGTGGAGACGTCACAGTATATCTGCAGATCCTGTCCCGGTGTCCTACTTCAGGGCAGAGCCGTTCTTCAGCAGATCATGTAGCTCGCTATCGGTGTCTTGCTCACTGGCTAGGGACTGATAGTCTAAGGGCATAGAAATTTCATTAATGCAGGACAGAGTATCAGCGACTATATTATCCTTTCCGGCGATATATCTGATGTTCGTGGTAAACTGGCTGATGAAGTCAAGGTAGCGAAACTGGCGTGGCGAGCAACTCGTTCGGTGCGTTGTAAAAGCAAACGTCAGTGGCTTGTGGTCTGTTATAATCGCGAAATTTCGTGCTTCGACCATGAAGCGGAAGTGTTTCATGGCTTCGTAGATGGAAAGAAGTTCGCGATCATAAGGGCTATACTTCCTCTGGCTTGGACTTAGCTTCTTGGAAAAGAATGCCAGTGGTTTCCATTCGTTGTCCTGGTATTGCTGCAGGACTGCCCCTATTGCTGAATCTGAAGCATCTGTATGAATCGCCAACTCTGTTTGTGAATCAGGGTGTACCAATAGTGTGGCTTCAGAAAGACTATTCTTGCAGTTGTTAAATGCCTCCAACAGATCGGGTGTCATGTTGATAGGTTGCGAATCTTTCGTCTTTGGGCCAGCAAGCATTTGGTTCAGTGGAGCTTGAATGGTAGCTGCATTTGAGATTAAGCGGCGATAAAAGTTTACCATTCCAAGAAAACGTCTGAGTTCCTTGACGGTTTTTGGTGGAGGGAATTCTCGAATAGCCTGCACCTTCGCATCCAGTGGCTGGATTCCTACTGCTGAAATCTTATATCCTAGGAAGTCAACCTCAGACTGCCCAAAAACGCACTTGTTGGTGTTTATTAGAACGCCGTATTCCGTCAGTCTTTGAAAAAGTTGCCTGAGGTGTTGCTGATGCTGCGTGCTGTTGGAGCTGTATACCAGGATGTCATCCATGTATTCAAAACAGAAGTCCAATCCCCGGAAAACCTCGTCCATGAAGCGCTGGAACGTTTGAGCGGCATTTCGGAGGCCGTAAGCCATGAACGGGAACTCATATAAGCCGAATGAGTGTTGACGTAAGACTGACTGTAATTACGTTATTAATAAGTTTATATATAAGATTATACCCAAACGTACGTATAGGTACTAGGTAGATACTACACCTTCCTTCCCAAAGAAAAAAAGAAATGAATATGTGCATTTCTTTTTTTGTTTTATAATACTAATATTTAAAATTACACAATAATTATATTCTAATTTTTAAAATGTAAACATGGGTAAAAGCATAAACAAATAGTTATAAAATATTTAGATTAATATGATTACAATTGGTATTATAATACTTAATATTAAGGTAAAGTAATAATAATTAACCGAACCCGAACAAGCCGGTTTCCGAAAGGGCTTTAGCACCATAGACCACATACATACCCTTCGGCAAGTTGTACAGAAGTCCGAAGAGTACAATTTGCCACTATGTCTGGCGTATGTGGACTATGAGAAAGCCTTTGATTCCGTCGAAATTTGGGCGGTGCTGCAGTCCCTTCAGCGATGCCAAGTTGACTGTCGGTATATCGAAGTGTTGAAGTGCTTGTACAGTAGGGCTACGATGGCTATCCGAGTACAGAACCAGAGTACGAAACCTATCCAATTGCAGAGAGGTGTAAGACAGGGTGACGTCATATCCCCGAAACTCTTCACCGCTGCATTGGAAGACGTTTTCAAGCTTCTGGACTGGAAAGGATACGGTATCAACATCAATGGCGAGTACATCACTCACCTTCGATTTGCCGACGATATAGTCCTTATGGCAGAATCGCTGGAGGACCTAAGCACTATGCTCAATGACCTCAATAGTGTTTCCCAACGGATAGGTCTTAAGATGAACATGGACAAAACTAAGATCATGTTTAATGTCCATGTCACACCTATGCCGATAGTTGTTGGGAACACTAAGCTCGAAGTTGTTGACGAGTATGTTTACCTGGGACAAATAGTCCGACTGGGTAAGTCCAACTTCGACCGAGAGGTCAATCGACGGATTCAACTCGGCTGGGCAGCGTTCGGGAAGCTACGACACATCTTCTCGTCAGACATACCTCAAAACCTTAAAACGAAATTGTACAACCAGTGCGTGTTGCCAGTGATGACTTACGGAACTGAGACGTGGTCCTTCACTGCTGGCCGTATGAGGAAGCTCAAGGTCGCTCAGCGAGCTATGGAGAGGGCTATGCTCGGAGTTTCTCTGCGTGATAAACTTAGGAATGAGGATATCCGCAGTAGAACCAGAGTGACCGACATAGCCCAACGGATTAGTAAGCTGAAGTGGCAGTGGGCCGGCCATATAGCTCGAAGAACCGACAACCGATGGGGAAGAAAGGTTCTCGAGTGGCAGCCTCGTACCGGTAGGCGAAGTGTAGGGCGTCCCCCCACGAGAT